AAAAAAAGGGGGGGGTAACTTTCAAAGCTCCACGTTGGAAGCAATCCAAATTATTGGAAAGACATGAAGAAGTAACACTTCAAGCTGCACCTCCTACATGTGACAAAGCACATATCTACGGTGCATCATGAAGTGGGGGCAATTTGTAGACAATGAAATTTTGGTGAATTAAATTCCACTAAATGAAGAAAATAATTAGGGCTTGGTGGATTAAGTTGTGGGCCCCATAATTCGCCCATGTGGCGTATGACTCATCAAAATCGGATTAGTTGTCAAAAAAGTGACACGTGTCGACATCCGACGGAGTGCATCAAACGGTTCAAGATGAAGACAAAATTAAGGGAATGAATCTTCTGTGATTGACTTTGATTTAAATCAAATATTAATCAGGTCAATCAATTGAAGGTTAAATTTCCAGATTATGGGAATTGATTTAAATCAAATCAAAATCCCATAAAACAAGGTTTTAAATAGGGAAAGTTATTCAGGTCAAGCACCCTACAAGAGCCTATAAATAGGAGGCTTCAATATTTAGGTCAAGCATCCTGCAAGAGCCTATAAATAGGAGGCCTCAAGATGAAAGAAGGAGCACCCAAGCACTCAGAAGAAACAGAAAACTCTCTGCATTCTTCACCTCACTTTGGAAGAGCCACCAAGCACAACAAATACGTGCCGGTTCCTCCACCCTAGAAAAATCCAAACACTCAAACAAGCCTTGTGCTACCCGTTTGATCAAGATCAAGTCTCTACGACCCTTGTATCAAACACAAATTTTCTTTAAACACTTTGGAGATCGAATCAGAGGATTCAATACAGAGATTGTAACCCTAAATTTCATTAATACAAATATTATTTTGTACACGTGTTCTTGTCTCATTTGTCGCAGGAAATTCGTGTTTACAGCAACATTTGCAGATGCTTCTGGAAATAATATGCTACATCTTCCAGGGATGCTATCTCCAGCAGAAAAACTTGATCGTATTTCAGGTGCAGCCTTGCAAATGCAGAGGGAAAGACAATGGTTCAAGGTTAGATATCTTCATTCTATATCTTTCCTGTAAATTAATTGTATTTAGAGCTAGTTGTGGGATATTAGGTGCTGGAGTGGTAGCTTGTAAAAGTGGTTGTGGGTTGATATGTTGTCCATGAAACTAGTGGCGGTAGGGCTTTCTAGTGTAGTTGAGGTGCCATATGGAAAGTGAGGTGGAGACCCTAGATGAGAGGATGGGAGGTTTTGCGGTCTGATTGAATGATTTTGGGAAGGAGGCAGTTCGGACTCATGAAAACGTTTTTCTCTGCTACGATCAACTTGTTTTTATTCTAAACATGTCTTTTAAAATTCATCCAAAGGTTAAAAATGTGACACCACACACCCGCATATTTTACTGTAAGGCATATTTGATAAGGGTAAAATGCTCTTTTGTTTCAAGTTGGGAAACGTAGGTTTAAATTCTAGGTAACATGAAGTAAGTTGCAGGCCCAACCCTTTTTCACGTTTATTATATTAACAGGCGAACAAGAAAAAATTTAAGAAAACCCATGTTGCCGCCCTCTTGTGGGTCGGTGCCTCCCTCCTTCCCTCCCCTTCCTCCACTCCCCCTCCCAGTTCTTCTACTCAGCTCTCCATTTTTTGTATTTTTTGTTTTGCGGTGTGGAATCGTCGTCGTCGTGACAGTCGTCGTCTTTTGGCCCATGTACATGGCTACCACAAGGATTTGGCTCCAGTTCTCAGCTTTGACTTGGGTTTGGAGCCGCAAGGCGAGGATGTTACTGGGCAACGTAGGGTTTGGGTTTAGCCGGTATGGTTCTATGGCTCTATTTGATATGTACAGGAGGATACAGTCAGGTGGCTCTGCTTTTTAGTTTGTTTATGTCTAATAATTTTACGAAACAATTCAGGAGCTTGTTGTGTTTTGCATTCTCTTATTGAAAGGTTTTATTTAATGAAATGCACGAGGTGAGATCCCGACAAACTAATATTTAGTAACTAAAAAAATTTGACGTGCCTCATAAAAAATAGGTAGTACAAAAGTAAACAAGCAAACAATGAAATCCTGACAAGTTTTATTACGTTGTGGTCAACAATGCTCCTTGTCGTATTTCTTTCATGTGTTATGTTGCCTTCCATAAAAGCAGTGATTCTAGAGTAAGTTACCTGGTAGCCACAACGAACTTGAGGTTTATATGTTTAATGAAATGCAGGAGGTGGAAAGTAATGTAGTTTTACCCTCGGGAGTGGGAGTTTTCAATGAACAGGGTATGAGACCCCATCAACTATTTACCCAGAACCATAATAAATTGAAGGAAGAAGGAGAAAAGTGGATGAAAGATACAGCAACTTCTTGTACAGTTGTAGGTGCTCTCACTATTACCATCATGTTTGCTGCAGCCTTCACGGTGCCTGGTGGAAACAATGGAGGAACAGGCTTTCCCTTGTTCTTAGATGAAAAGATGTTTATGGTTTTTATAGTTTCAGATGCTATATCACTCTTTTCTTCCACAACTTCAGTGTTGATGTTTTTGGGAATCCTTACATCACGATATGCAGAAGACGATTTCCTCAAATCCTTACCCACAAAGATGATAATCGGCCTGTCAACGCTCTTGATCTCCATCGTTTCCATGATGGTTGCCTTTTGTTCTGCTCTTTTCCTTATGCTTCATGAAAGACTATGGATTGTCATTCCAATCATTTTCCTCGCTAGCGTTCCAGTCACCTTACTTATTTGGATGCAATTTCCCCTTCTTGTTGAGATTTTCATTTCTACATATGGAGGAGGGATATTTGACAAGAAAGTGAGACGGTGGATATAAATCCTTGATGGTATAACTTTGTATGTATTAATTTGTTCTTCAATTTGGAAGATAGGAGAACCTTTACATCTCTCGCCTCCCTTTCACCCGTCCCTTCTAATGTGATTTTTGAGTGATTGAGTTGTTGGTGTTGCTACATACCCTCCGTTTAGATGAAGGAATTGAAAATTACATAAAATTCTTAAATTACATAGAATTCTTATACTGAGATGTAGTTTCAGGGTATAAAGGCCTAGTGTGGTATAGTTGTTAGATTTTGTAACCTTTGTTCTGGCAGCCCCCTTCCTTGCTTACCACAGAGATAGTGCAACTCAGATCAATAGGCATGATATGTCCCCTAAAATATTAATAAATTGTTAAATATCTAATTGCAAGAATAAATAAATCAAATAAAAAGCTCATCTGTTCAATAATGTAACACACACTTCATTCACGATCAGATAAGAAAAATTGGCATTCGAATGTACATTAATCTTCAATGGATTTCGAATGCGTTTTATTAAGCGTTGATGCCCATTAAGGTTTTCTAGTATCACTTTCTTTCTTATTCAAGCTAGGTTCACTTAAAATTATCTTGTTTGAAATTAATTACTACTTCTCATGCAAAGAAAACATTGATCAATTCTCATGCAATCCAACCCTATCTTTAGTCTCTTCATACCAAATGATATATATTGGGCGATTCTCAAGCAATCCAACTTCTAGGGCCAAAGTCTAAACTACACTATACATCATGCCAACCAAATGAATACAATTGATGAAGAGAAGGTTTTATAGCGGCATAAACTTCATGCCAACCATTCTGTGAAGGGTGTACCGTATCCCAAAAGAAAGAAACATCAGGGTTATCGCATACAATGTACTTCTTTGCACCAGTCTGATCCACACTTCCGCATGAGTATTCATTGCTGACCCCAACACAACATGGCTTTAGTGTGTTAATCTGGAATGCCGAATATCCTGCTATCGAAAAAAGAATGTGATAGACATATATACATGAGTAGGACCACATTTATTGACCATCAGCTTATAAATGTATTTAAAAAGGACCCACATGATTGTACCTACTTTTATTAAAAAGGCGGTGAGCAAAGTGATCAGTAAATGTAAAACAAATAGCACTATCCAAAAGTAATACTAGTAGAAGGGATCAATTAGCGTTTGCGGAAAAGGGATTTATTACCTTGATGATGTTTTGGGGGCTTCAATGCGGACATAAACGCATTATAGAGATCCAAGTCGACAAATGCAGAATTATTTGTCTCCTTGTTCAACTCTTCCAATTTTGAAGCAGAATCTAGTTGTGGAACATTGAAGCCATATTGGCAAATTCATTGCAGTTTTGATATGAAAGAAAGGAAGTTATGCCGGGAAGACATCCTAGGGGCTCTATTGTTGTAACCGCTATTTTTTGCACTCCCAAATCATGTATACGCTTCAAATCCACAAGTAAGCTGCTTAATAATAGATTAGTAAACATTGCCAAATCCTGTCATTTTGGAAGATACGACGAGTGCGATCAAGTTAGTATAAAGTCTCTTCAAAATTCAATATATCATGTATGTATTTATGGACATGCCAAGAACCCCCACATAGTTTGGAAACATCTAAACCCTTTAATAATGTTGTGTTTGATTAAAGTTCCGTAGAAAATGATGGAATCTTGAATTTGAATATATGTAAAAAAGCAAACATAACTCCTCGAGAAAAATTAATAGTAGATTATTGTTCAACAATGACATCTTGTTATAATTGAGATAATTATAATACAATAACAACATATTAATTTAGAGTAGATTATCGCTTGTAAAAAAAAAAACTATTAAGAGATGTTATCTCGATTTTTCAAATTCCATGATTCGTCTGCAGACACTAAATTATTATTGAAATTTGTGTATAAGCTCAAGTGACATTTCTGTATTTTTTTAGCAGAAAAATTCCATTACGTTAATAACTTTTTATATTAGATGTTACTTAGAAGAAATGTTAATACACCAATGCAAGAGAGTAATATAAACGACAACAAAACAAGAACAAGCTAATAGAATTGAGGAGTTACTAAAATTGAAAAGACTAATACAATTAGAAAACTTATTGAGAGGTACTTATTTTTAACAAAACCCAATAGGGATTGCATGTTCGAAGATCCAAACTGTTTAATTATTAGGTCTCGTATAAGGATTATTAGTCATTTAAAGATGATGAAGTAAATAGATGAACACAATGATTTCGATGGTTACTAAAATGATCATAACGATAATCTAGTATTCTAGTCAAGCAATGGCTCTTAAAAGTTGCTTAGAGGTTCAACTAGCTCAAAATGTAACTCAATTAATATTATCTATTGTTTATGTCTTACGGTCGTATCTCTAGAGGGCAATGCATCGCAAACATGCATGTTATAGTTAATGTATGTACTTATTTATTACTGTAGAAGCAATTAACTTGCCTTTATTATATATACTTTTCAATAAATAATTCCCAACACTAAAATAGCTTATATTAACTATCAGAAGGTTGCGTTCACTTAAATTAATTGTTAAATTATTTACTTTTCATAATCATATCATTGCTTGACTGTTACAGTTTACCATTAATTGTAAAAGTCTGGTACTTTTTTTTCTTTTTCAAAAAGCAATATTCTAAAATATTAATGTATGAGGAGAGGGTCGAATTTGGGTGCAAGGAAGCATGTAATATATATATAGTCAGTGGCAGATCCACGAGTAATTTTTGAGTGTTGCCGGTACACCACGTGGTTGGTGTACCATCAAATAGACGGAAGACATATGGAATATGTCCAATGCAGTCTGCCACATGTCATAAGAAGAAATGCAGTAAGTTGGATAATAATTCCACATGTTCTATGTTTATTGGATGGTACACCAAACACGTGGTGTACCTGGAACATTCAAAAATTTCTCCAACATACGAGTCCCTGAAGACGAAAAGTTTCACAGAGCCATGACTGTTGCGCTGATGAAGGTGATGATGAGCTTCAAGAAATTCTGCCACTATATATCAAAAGCAATAAAGGAACAAATAAATACAATTTTATTTTATCTACAAAAAATATAAAGGCTGATATCAAGAACATATATATTTAGTTATGAAGAACTAACCTGTAAAAGTGGCGATGTATAAAAGGAAGAGACAAGAAGAGGCGATGGTGGTTTGCTTCTCCATTTGAAAGCAGAGATTTTGGGTGAAAGACACTGGCGTTTATATATATATATATATGGGCATGATACAATGTACCCTACTTAATAGCAATAGGTTTTACAGCTTAGAAAAGGAAAAGAAAAAAACGGATTTGTTTTTTGTTTGAATATTTATTAATTTTGGTGACTTTTAATAGTGTCATTTTCATTTTCATTTTCATTTTCTCGACATTACTATATAATTCTATAAATAACCTTACTTCAAAGCCTAGCAATTATTGTAATTTTTTTAAATCCAATTTTGCTCACTCCTTAATTATTCTGATGTAGCTTAGGGTTTAAACCCTAAAAATATTTATGATGTACCTCACCCTAAACCCTAAAACACTACTGTACTTGGATGGGCCTCAGTGACCAAATCATACCTTTGTTCAAGCGCCCCCTTCTTACCACAAAGATACTGCAACTAAGATCAATAGGCATCATGCCAACAGCATCTAGTCCAATGAAAAAAGATATAGACTTGCAGACTAGTAGACCTATATTATTTGTTGTAGGGTTCATCTTTTTGTTCACCATAAGCAGTGGCAGCCCTGAGGGTGTGCAAGTGGTGCCACCGCACAAGGCCTCCAATTTTTTAGGGCCCCCAATTCTTTTTAACGTACATGTTATATATATCAATATGTTAAATATTGTATATATAAAACCCACGTAGGACATTTACACAAGGACGGGTTTGGTAGCCATGTTTTGCTGCACTATAACCTCTACTTATATGGCGTAGGTTAGAGGCCCACTTGTGTACATCAATGATTACAGTTTTACATTGGGGAATTTTTTTTTTTTCGTTTTTCTATTGTAACAGCAACAATAAAAGAAATAAAAATTCATGTCTCCTCCTTAAACTCTATCCCTATAGTATCCCTCAATTCCTGCTCCTTCCTGTCTTTCTTTTAGTTCTTGATAGCACAGGAAAGAGACTGTTCTTGATCCTTGGCCGTCCTTTGTCCTCTTTTGATAATACCATAAATGCTATTGGTCCTGATCTTCGATTCAATCTGGGAATGGTTGTTAAAGAGACTCGTGGTAATCGTCTTTTTTTCTTTATCCGAGGTCTTAGCTATCCTACTCACTTTTCTTTTTTCTTTTTCTCGTTCTTGTTGTTCTTGTTGGGCTACACTAGGTCATCAAGCTTTTGGTGAAATTTTCACGCTGCTCATTTAAGTTTACAGGTCTGTATAGTCAACTCGATCCTATGACTGGGCCTAGGCAGTTCTCCAGAAGGGTATCGTCAAGACCTCTCGAGACGAGAATAGATGAAGGGAAGAAAGGAAATCTTTTCCCGGATCATTGATCTAGAGGGGAAACTAAGTTATGAGCTACCCCCTCAACTGTTTGATGGGGGCTATGCTAGTCTTATAGCCATCTATCTCTATAGTATCCCGCAATTCCTTTTCCTTATTGTCCTTCTTGTAGTTCTTGATAGCACATGAAAGGGACTGTTCTCGGTCCTTGGCCATCCTTTGTCCTCTTTTGATAATACCATAGATGCTATTGGTCCCGATCTTCAATTCAATATGGGAATGGTTGTTAAAGAGATCCGTGGTAATCAAATTTTTTTTTCTTTATCCGAGGTCTTAGCTATCCTACTCACTTTTCTTTTTTCTTGTTGTTCTTGTTGGGCTACACCAGGTCATCAAGCTTTTGGTGAAGTTTTCACGCTGCTCATTTAAGTTTACAGGGTCTGTATAGTCAACTCGATCCTATGACTGGGCCTAGGCAGTTCTCCAGAAGGGTATCGTCAAGACCTCTCAAGACAAGAATAGACGAAGGGAAGGAAAGAAATCTTTTCTCAGATCAATGATCTAGAGGGGAAACTAAGTTATGAGCTACCCCCTCAACTGTTTGATGGGGGCTATGCTAGTCTCATAGCCATCTATCTTTATAGTATCCCGCAATTCCTGCTCCTTCCTGTCCTTCTTGTAGTTCTTGATAGCACAGGAAAGGGACTGTTCTCGGTCCTTGGCCGTCCTTTGTTCTCTTTTGATAATACCATAGATGCTATTGGTCCCGATCTTCAATTCAATCTGGGAATGGTTGTTAAAAAGACTCGTGGTAATCGTTTTTTTTTCTTTATTCGATGTCTTAGCTATCCTACTCACTTTTTGTTGTTGTTGTTCTTGTTGGGCTACACCAAGTCATCAAGCTTTTGGTGAAGTTTTCACGCTGCTCATTTAAGTTTACAGGTCTGTATAGTCAACCCGATCCTATGACTAGGCCAAGGCAGTTCTCCAGAAGGGTATCGTCAAGACCTCTCGAGACGAGAATAGACGAAGGGAAGGAAGGAAATCTTTTCCCGGATCAATGATCTAGAGGGGAAACTAAGTTATGAGCTACCCCCTCAACTGTTTGATGGGGGCTATGCTGGTCTCATAGCCATCTATCTCTATAGTATCCCGCAATTCCTGCTCCTTCTTGTCCTTCTTTTAGTTCTTGATAGCACAGGAAAGAGACTGTTCTCGGTCCTTGGCCGTCCTTTGTCCTCTTTTGATAATACCATAGATGCTATTGGTCCCGATCTTCGATTCAATCTGGGAATGGTTGTTAAAGAGACCCGTGGTAATCATCTTTTTTTTTCTTTATCCGAGGTCTTAACTATCCTACTCACTTTTCTTTTTTCTTTTTCTTGTTCTTGTTGAGATACCTGAAAATCGTCATTGCACGCTGCTTTTGTGGGAGCCAAATTGTAGCAAAACCCTAGGTCAAATATTTCCTTCTATTTGGGGATTATTTGACCTAATTGGGAGTTACCTGATTTAATTGGGATTGATTTGATTCCTACCTTAATTATCAAATCCCTAATTAAGCCAATCTCGCAAAATCAGGGAAGAATAATTCCTTTCCATCTGCAGAATTATTCTTCTAAAACCCTAGCCTCCGAGGCCCCTATAAATAGATGGCTACGCACAAGCGTTGAGGTACATCTAAATTCCTACTGAAACTCTGCAGAGATTATCCCTCACAAACCCTAGCCGCCATACTCTCTCTCCCTTTTACACAAGGCTCCAGCCACCACTCACGGCTTCGCCCACCCAGTTTACACCTTACATATATATCTCCGTACCCTATTTAGCTATTGTTTTTCCTAAATCAATTGAACTAACTTAGGCATTGGAGGGCCTTCGGTCAACACCCCCCGGGTGTGGTCCTCTTATTTCAATCTATTTTGCAGGGAGAAAGATGCGGCAAAGAAGAAAGGGTAATCTTTCAATCGCATATCCTCGTGGGAAGAAATAGCTCCCACAGATTTCCTTAGGTTTAAAGAACCCCTATGACACATTGGCAAGGTGTCTAATAAAACCCCCCTCCTCTTCTTAACTTTGGCAAAATAAATATATATATCAATAGGCATGATATGTCCCCTAAAATACTAGTAAATTGTAAAATATTAATCTAATTGTATATTAACCTATAGTATGGAAATCTCCCCTTATTGAATTGAAAACTAAAGCGCTAATGCGCCTTATATATATTTTGTAAAGCAACCTTTCGCGCTAGGAGCTCACATTTTTTGTCTGGGTGGAAGCAAGCGGCAGGGCTTGCTTAACCGGACAGTTAGTCTATTCAATAACACATGTTAAAATACTTCATTTTAGCTTAACTAAGAAAATGTGGAATTCGAAAGTACATTACAGTGTCACTGTAGCTCGTTGCGAATGTGTTTTTATTTTGCACAAAGAAGATATGCGAATGCATATTTATTAAGCGTGGATGCTCATTTTAATGTTTTCTATGGATCGCTTTATATCTTATGTGCTGGCTTCTTATTCTAGCTAGTTAAAATCACACTATTTGTACTTCTATCATGCAAAGAAGTTGATAAAGTATCAAGCAATCCAACCACCTATTAGTCTCTTTTATATCTATTATGATATATTGGGTAAACCAACCTTTTAGGGCCAATATTTAAACTACACAACAAATCACAAATACAATTGACGAAGAGAAGATTTTATAGCGGAATAAACTTCATGCCAGCCATTCTGCGAAGGGTGAATCATGTCCCAAAAGAAAGAAAGTTTGGGCTTATCGCATACAATGTACTTCTTTGCTCCATTCTCATCCACACTCCCGCATGAGTATTCTTTGCTCACCCCAACACAACATGGCTTCAGTGGATTAATCTGGAGTGTCGAGTATCCTGCTATCCAAAAAAAAGTTAAAGTAGTATACATGAGTTTATATTTCTTGACCACCTTGTATACAGATGAGGAGGACCCACATAGGTGATATCGACCTTTATTAGAAAGGTGGTGAGCAAGGTGATGAGTAAATGTGACATATCCGAAAGTAATACTAGTAGAAAGGACAAAATTACCGCTCACCACAAAGAGTTAATTAATTAATTACCTTGATGGTGTTTTGGGAGCATAATTGCAGACAGAGATGCGTTATAAAGATCCAAGATTACAAATGAAGATTTCTTAGTCTCCTTGTTCAACTCTTCCACTTTTTGACGCAAAATCTGGTTATGGAAAATTGAAACCAAATTGGCAACTTCACTACAATTCTGATATGAAAGAAAGGAAGTCATGCGGGGCAGACATCCCAGGGGCCCTATTGCTGTAACAGCTATTTTTCTCACTCCCAAACCATGTATACGCTCTAGATCCACAGCAAGCTGCTTAATAATGGATTTGGTGACCACTGCGAAATCCTGAAGATATGATAATTGTGCGGTACAATAATAATTAAGTAAAATTTTAGAAATCTCACATGAACTCGTACGTTATTTTTCATTTTTTTACATTAAAGAAAAACTTATGTCATCTCGATTTTTCAAAATCCATAATTTGGCTCCATATGCTAACTCTGTTATAGAATCTATTACATAAAATCATGTGTTGCACACATGTCTCACTTAAATTATTAAAGAAAAATAAAATAAAATAAAAGCTTTACGACTTGCCTACATTGCATGCATGATGCATGTCAACAAACAGATAGAGTTAGCTTAACCACTTACCTCAGTGTGGTTGCCAAAATAAGCAGCGTAGTCGTTACCCGCAACTGATACGAGAGCAATGGACGAGTTAACGACGTCATTTTTGGTACTATAGAGTTTTTGTTCAAGCAGCTGTTGGAAAAAGTCGATTTGGGTGGTCAAGTTTGGTCCACCAAACACTGTATCAAAAACACCTGTCCCTCCATATGCAAAGTTCATCCCAGACTCTAGTTTTGATTTCTTCACAAATTTTCTCAAAGTGTAAGGCACTGGAGAGCTTATGCCCAAAAAGGAAGCTGCAATACATCGCAACATCTCAGAGAGGCATTTCATAAAACAAAATTAAAATAAAATAAAATATTGGTTTTTGTCTTGTTTTCTTTTTGTTTTTAGAATTTGGTTAAACAAACAATAATGCAATTACAAATTAAAATATAGATAAAATCATGCACTCACAATCCCAATCTAGTAGTAAGAGCAGTGTATTTTAAGGGGTGTAAAGCAACTTTAACATCCTCTTTACATATCCGAAGGGTGTAAATATAGTTTTTGCTCCAATGGTGAATATTTAAATCCAAAGATGTATATTTGATTTTCTTGTTTAAATTTGTTTTTGTTTTTGTTTTTGTTTTGGTTTTGTTAACTTTATAAAATTTATTTTATGCGTGTTACGGTTTAATTTATTTTTGCAAATAAATAGACCTAAAAATATATATTTGAATTGTCCATGTTTAAATAATATATGAAGAGTAATTTCTTGTCAAATATTTCACATGTAAACGTACTAGAAAAAGTAAAATTCAACTATAGAGGCAAACATACACTCATAATCTAACATATATTTTTGGATTGAGGAAAATACTCTTAAGAGAGAAGGAACCTATATAATCAGTGAGCACGAAACCATCTGAAAATCGACCAGCTGGCTTTCCCGGAAAATTGATGCCATAAGGTTCCTTCCATGAAGCAGACACAGATTTTCCAGTATTTCCAGTATCAGCATACGAATCCCCGAAAACGAAAAGCTTCACAGAACCATGACGATTATGACGATGATGGTGATGATGTGCTTCAAGAACTTCTTCCATTATATATCAAAGGCAATAAGGGACAAAGAGTAAATATGACAATATAATACATTTTGCTTTGTCTAAATAATAATTTGTGGCTACAGTTAATATATGATTATCAAGAACATGTATATTTGTTTTTGTACTTAGCACTAACCTGTAAACGTGGCGATGTATAAAAGGAAGAGACAAGAAGAGGCTATGGCTGTTTGCTTCTCCATCTAAAAGCAGAGATTTCGGATGTGTTGAAAAATAAAGAACTATATGATATGAAGTGATATTGTGGGTGGAAGAAACTGGCAGTCTTATATATATATATATATATGAGCATCATGATGCAAAGCAATAGGTTAGGTTTTACAGCTTAGAAAAGGGACTCGAGAAAATGCATAGATGATTACAATGATTAAGGGGTGTATTCATAGACAAATTATTAAATACTTTCATACAGTTAACCATTAGCCTTAAAAGTATGAAAAATTCATTTATTTAATAAGTTTTTTAAAAGTCATTAACTTTTTAGATACCGCCAAACTTTTAAAGACTTTCTAAAAGTCATTACTGAATACCACCAAACTTTTATAAACTCCTTAAAAATTTAAATTGAATACCACCAGGCTTTTAAAAATCATTAAAAGTTTGAATTAGATACACCCCCTTAAAATTAAATGAAATGCGAGAAAATTAGTAAATTCTAAATTTTGGTGACATTAGTACTATTTCCATTCGTGGAATTTTCCATTCTAGAAACATTCTGAAATTCAACAATTTCGTTGCAACACTTGGAAAGTTGTGTATCTTTTCTAAATTTGGTGACCTTATTGGTACTATTTCTCTATAATAAAAAATCATAATTACAGTATCCATAAATAGACTTACTTCAAAGCCAAACAAATTATTTTGATTTAAAAGTCTTCATAACTTGAGCAGATGAAATGAGTTAAAAGTCACCCCATTTAGAGTTTGTATCATGAATGGTCCCTGAATTTTTCAAAAGTCTTCATTTGAGTCCTCAAACTTTTAAACCAATGAATGTGGTCCTTAAACCGTCAACTACCAAGTTTGATTCTGGATGCTATTGGCCTGCATTCTGTGAGGGCCAGCCTAGAGCCTTACATTGTTATCCTGGCCCAAATGAGAGGAGAAATGAGATCACTATGCAGCTTGTGGTAGCCACTTGGGCCATATTTTAAAAGGGAAAAGGCACAAGGAGCCAACAGCTGAATGCCACTATCCTGCATTTTAGGACTCGAGATATCACTTTGGAAAAATAATGGAAAAATAGCAGATCCTAGGATGGTTTAAGAGCATTTGGGTACACTTCCTTATTAGCCGGTTTTTAGGGGCAAGTTCTACCCATGGGCTCTTATCATTGCAACAGAAAATATGTAGGTCAATTCTTTGAAAATGCAAAAATATTGTGGTACTGACAAAGTTCCTTATATGAACTCAATGTCAATATTTAGGATGCTGGGCACAAAATAATTCAATTCTTAGTGACAAATCTCTCTATAACCTTCTCTCTCTTTCATCTGGTTGCTGGTCTGCTCTGACTCCTGCTGTATCTTGGAGGGCTAGTCTTGGCAACATCAACAACTATCATCCAGCCATTAATGATCTGCAAGAATCATCAACAAAAAATAGGCTAAGCTTTCCTCTTCAGAGTGTTGGATCTGTTTTATGAACATGTAAAACATGTACCAAAGACAAGAAAGACTACGCCTACGTGTTTGATTTATTCGAATCAGTTTATAAAAATGAAGAGCATGTTGAAACTTGCCTTGCCATTCATCTCTCTGAGTGCTGCACTAGCAGCTTCCTCCGTGGTGTATTCTATGAATGCATAACCTTTGGACCTTTTAGAAATTTTGTCCATTATTATTTTAACTGTTGAGGCAAACATTTAATTAGAATGAGCATATACTGCCATCAAATTGAAAACCCCATTTTATGCTTAAAAAAAAGTGTAGTACCTTCAACAAGCTCACCAAAGCCTTCAAATGCTGCCCGGAGGGTTTTCTCAGATGTATAAAATGATAGGCCTGTTCAGAAACTAAAATGATTTTAGCAATTTCAAGTGAATATGCAATGAGAGGGAGAAAGAAGCTACACATATTGAAGAATATCGAGATCTTTTGAATAATTACAACGGATAACTCTAGTAAAGAGTTAAAACATAGTTAGCATTACAGGGGTGTTTTTGATTGTCTATTTGAAAATATTATATTGCTGTAATGGTTAGCATTGGTGCCATTAAATAGAAAAGGACCCGAATAATGTTGGGAAAAAACAACTATCATCAATTGCACTCTTAAAAAGAAAATTAAAAAAAAAAAACCATAATTGTTTGTAATTACGAATAATAATGTCAGGTTGTTAACAACCCATTTCATGTTCCTTCAGGAAACTTTAACTTCATATAAACCATCAGCAATAAACAAAAATGACCGAGGTGAAAAAACTATATTGAAATCACTAATAAATGCATGTTTCCTACAACTTGATAAACATGGTACAAAAGATGTCATCCTTTAGTGCAAGGGATCGGGAATAAAGCTAATAATTTAAAGGAAAACTATAGTTCAACACACGTCAAGCTCCATCAGATTATCAGATACTACCAAGCCTCTTCCCAAATATTTAAGAATTGTTAAGGAATGAGTAACCAAAATGATGTATTGAAGAACTCCATAGGAAAAAATACTCAGGACCAGGAACCCATGACCTGTCATCTGCTGAATCTGTTCTTTCTATGATCAGTAACAGGTCCCTTCTGACAATTATTGGCAAAACTCCAAGACTTTCACATACCATGAAATCAAGCTCTTTCTATTTTTACATTCCAGGATGTGTAATATTTAACTTTGAAATGAGGTTTGCACCATCTCATGGTGTCAGATAACCTACAAATTCGGCTGTAGCAATTATTTCCTTCAGCTTTCTCCTTGTGGTTAATCTCATTTACACCATTTTCTGCCCATATCAAAATTCAAAATATTTCTATGTTTGCGGGATTATGTGATTTCTATTGCATGGCCATACACCTTCACAATCTTAACAATTGCTCTGAAAATCTTCTTGTGTTATACATTATCAAAGTCTTCCCAATTCCTATTCATTTGTTGACCAAGGAACAAAGTCATCTGGGCATCGATCTGCATAACCTTCTAAGTCCAACCTTTTGGACTAAAATTACAATGACACATTTAAATTTTTCAACAAGTAGTAAGAAACAATTCTCTAAGGACATCAAAAGTTACTCAACAAATTTAATTAAATTGCTCTATAAGTTATCTCGTCAGTGACATTGCTCTCTGAAGTTGAAAAGAAGACATTAGGTTTGCAACATCAGTTTAAAAGGCATTCAAATCAAGAAGCAAAGCCTAACCTAGCAACGAGTTAGAAGATATTACATCTGATTCTAAGATGATAACCGTAAGTAGATATTATTCAAGAAAGATCTTATAAAAGTTAGAAGAGGAGAAAACCTCCATAATCTTTGTTCTCCGACTCCCAATTCTTGTCAGGCTCGTCAGATAAAACACCAGGAACACCTGCAGCATATAGAATCATTAGTCCTCAAGAAGACAATTGTTAACACAAATGTGGCATAGAGAAACTAAGAGCATACACTAACCAGCTACTTCCCGTGCACACTCTTCATCAAGTTCACAACAGAACCCAAAGTTAGATTGCCAGGAAACATGATAAATACACATTTGTGCATCCTTCTCACTACCAAAAGAGCAAAATACAGTACCAATTAGAAAAAACAAAATAGTTTAAGAACGCAAACAGCATTGATGCTCAGAATCTAAGACTTACTTCCCCAAGACCTTTGTTAGTATCTGAGCATAATAATCAACCATTTGCGCCTTTGTTACAACCCCAATGCTGGGTTTATCCATTCGAACGAGCCACCTTTTGGTGTCAGAAAGAGGAAATAAGAAAGTATTTCCACTTTGAGGGTAAGACATAAAACCTGATTGAACATTTGGTGGACTATAATCCTTTTTTGCAGAACTATAATCCGGATCAGGCTTAACTGATAAAACCCCTGGTAAACCTACATAAATTACATACAAATAATTAAGTCATTCAACAACATTAGCAATAACGAATGACCAAACCTCATAGAAGTTCATTATCTCTTCAAACAGAACATCTCAGAAGCACTCATTTCATGACAATCAAAAAAGAACACAAACATCTAGTCTGTAGCAAAAACCAATTCAATAAAACATCAGTGAAAATGATAGAATTTTACATGCGAGCTTGCGGGAAGTTTCTTCCTCAATATCACAGCAAAAGCCAAAATGGGTATCCCAAGAAGCATCATATATACACATTTGAGCATCCTTCTCACTGAAAACAAAAACATTAAAACACAATTCAGGCGAAAATCTAAGCAATGCCATACTGGAGAAAAGAATTTATAGCATACCCACTTGCCCAAAACACTTTGAAGGGTTTTAACATAGTATTCAATAACTTCTTGTTTCGAATGCACCCCTTGTGGAGGAGCCTCCATGAGCACAATCCAGTGGCGGTTGTCACTGGAAGTGGAAGATATAGGAAGAGAAGTGGAAGGTGTCGCTGTTGTTGATGTTGAAGCTGCACATGTTTTAACTGAGAAACAACTACAAGAACTGTGAGAAACAGAATAAAAAGTAAATGGGTTCTTATGGGTTGGTGAGATGGGGAATCTGAGGTTCGTAGTGGGGGTTTGGGACTGGGTTTTGCGAGGTTTGAGTGAGAATTTTGTGGATATGATGAATGTTGCAGAGGGAGACAGAGACTCCATGGCTGCCTGCTATGGGTTCATTTTCATGAGTAGAGGAACTAAGCGCTCTCTCTGCAGCAGCTGCATAATCCTCTGCTTATCTATTGTCTAATCAGACAAATCTGCTGTAGCAATTTTATTCATTTATTTCTTATCAATAACATTCCATATTCCTACTACTTTTAACAATTTCAATAATAAATTTGTATAAGTCCCTTCTAAGAGCACTTCCACCCATTTACCATGGTAAATGGCAAGGGGAGGCAAGGGCAGATATTATTCACGTGAATAGTGGCAGCCCTTGCAAAAAGTAAGGTGTGTTTCCACCTATTGCCATGGCAACAGAGATATGAGGAGAGTAATTTGTATAGAGTTTTGGTGTGGGAAGTGAAAAATATGACTAAGTATTTATTTTTAAAAAAATTCTGAAAATTTTAGTATTTTTTAGATTTTTAAAAGATTTTTAATAATTTTTGTTGTTGCTGACGTCAGCAAATCCAGTCTAGAGGTCAGGCTGGCCTTGTCTCATGGGGCCCACGGCTTGCCTGGGCAAGCTTGGCCCGTTGGAAGCTGTTGCCTGGGCTCGAGCCTTGTCCTGCCAGGGCTGGAGTTTATTGCTGGAAGTGCTCTACCCCCAGCCCCTCTCTCAAAAAAAAAACATTTTATAACCGTTTTTACTTTGAGAGTCACCTCTCCCCTCCTCTCTTCCTCCCCTCTCCCCTTTCCCTATTTGTCCTTATTTTGTAATAATTTTTCCTCCACTCATCACAGGCGGGTGTGTCTCGACGTTGGATCTCCACCCGCGTTTTAATGTCGAATCTCTACCGCCATCTTTTTTGCGGTTTCTTCATGTTTGGAATAAGTGGCAGAGACTCTTAGTTTTATGCTTAGTTTTCACCTATCATTTTGTGAGAGTTTTTCACCTCTTCTTTGTGAGAGCTTTCCACCTCTCATTTGTGAAAGTTTTATTTGTTTTGTTATGGCTTGTTTTTTTCAAACTTTATCTATTTTTGGTTGTCTGTGAGAGCTATGCACTCTTAGTTGGAATGTCTATGCCAAAGTCTCTTCGATCTTGTATGATCATTAGTGTAGTAGCCCTAGATTGTCTTAATTTTGACGTTAGATCGCTTCATTATTGTAATTGCCCTTTTGTGGCTAGTGACTTTTTTGACTGAATGAATGCAATTCCATAATTTCTAAATATATATATATATATATATAATAAAAAATTTCAGTTCATGTCCCATCAACCGTCAATTATGGCAAAAAAAATTTCATTAGTGCCACAACATTGGCCATCCCTTAATTATCTTTCTTTTTTAGGGGTTAATTGCTTTACTGCCCTTAAAATTATCGTCATATCTCACATTGTCCGTCAAAAGTTAAAATAGTTCACTTTGCCCTAGTCATTCTTGGTTTTTTTTTTTTAATAACAAAGACTAAGCTTTACTCGATCATTTTGGTTATTTAGAATGGACAGCGAGTTTTGTTGAGAGTCTAAATCCCACATCGAGGTTTAAATGTCTTGCTTAATAGTTTAAATTATGGGGGACTTTTGATTTAGCCCAAAATGAGGGAAGTATTTATAAAGAAGGACAAGATTCTAGTGTTTGGGCAATAATGCCCTTCTTCATTTTTAGATTGCCTAAGGCCCCGTTTGGGATTGCTTTTTTTGGCCAAAAACCTGCTTCACTTTAAAGTTAAGCAGTTTAAGGTGTTTGGTAAAAAGAAAATATCCCGATTATTTTAAAAGCAATGGCCTTTTGACAGCAGCTTTTAAAAGCAGACTCTAGGTTGCTTTTCAAAGCTGCTTTCAAAAGAAGAAGATATGAACATTTAATGAATTTTTTTAATTCCCAAAATACCATCATTCATTTTAAAAAATGACCCCCCCCCCACTTTCACATCCAACTCCACCACTTGCACCACCACATTCACTACCTCCACAACCACCACCACCACATCCTCTTCCTCCTCATCCTCCACCACCACCACCACAACCACCACCCCTCCACCTCGTCCACCACCTCCACCACCACCTCCTCCTTCACCTCCACCTCCACCTCCACAACCACCACCACCACAACCAACATCTCCTCCAAAACCCCCAAATCCACCACCACCACCACACCCTCATCCTCCTC